TATATATATATACACACATATGCACGTAAAGACAGATGGCTGGATGGATGGATGGATGGATGGATGGATGGATGGATGGATGGATGGATGGATGGATGGATGGATGGATGGATGGATGGGTGGGTGGGTGGGTGGATGGATAGAGAGAAAGATAGGCACCATAGCCCTGGCGAATGAACTAAAAATGGATAGATAGATGGATAGATATGTGTGTGCATATCTATATATACATATATATATATACATATGTTCGTATGCCTTTTCATTTATACATTCACAGACTGATGTATCTATATACCTGTATACTTGCATATTTAACTGTGCTATACATTGCAAATATCAAGTAATTTTAGCTGTTCATATGTCCATCTAGATATGTATGTACATATATGCACATATGTACATGTCTGCGTATATATAAACAACTATACTTTTTGATATATATATATATATATGTCTATAGGTACATACATACATAAATATCACAAATGCATACATGTGTTTTTGTCTATGGCTGTGTTAATATTGGCACTTATGCATATGGTCATATTTTATATGTGCGTGTGTATATTGCTGCATTCGTTTCCGTATGTATTTATACGTGTGCTTACTGGTGATTTTATTTGTATCTATGTCTGCATCTATTTTTACATATGTACTTATACTACTTATATTTGCATCTACATTTGTATCCCAAAACTATATTTCTATCTATATCTATACATGTATGCACTGTACGTACATACGTGTATATATATTTACACATATGCATACACCTATGTATGCATACATATTTATATATATATATATATATGTACATACATACAAGATATTCTATACACTAGTCATTGTGGGATCGCGATTATCGCTCCATCCTAGCACCATGCTTTCTCTGCCGGGCCGGTGCATGAGGTGCTCCCGTTGATAGACGGTTTCTCTGCCCGGGTTCTGCATGCTTTATTCAACTGTGCACTCTTCTACTTCTGACAGTTTTCAACTGAGGGAGATGCCTGGGATTTGCTCCGACTACCACAACAGGAACCGAGAATACACGATCGAGAAAAATCATGCGATTGCCAAGACCGGCACAGGCGAACAGCAAAAACCCACAAACAATCGATGCACCATGTGACAAGCAAGCCAGCAAGCAAGCAAGCAAGCAAGCAAGCAAGCAAGCAAAACAGCAAGCCAGCAAGCCAACAACACAGCCAGCAAGTTCCAAGCACGCAGGCATGCGAGCACGGAAGCACGCGAGCTACAAAGCCCGCTTCCTTCGCATGTCACGCCTCCACGAAATTCGGGGGAGGCAGTGCCGGAACGGATTCGCTTCCTGGCATGAGATTTCCAGATTTAATCTTCTCCGCTTCTCTGCCTCGTGGCTCCCGAGGTAGGTGCCGTTGAAGGCACTAGTCCACAATCCAGCCAGGTAGGGCTCCTGTGTCAGGCTTTGCAGGAGACAACAGGTCCAGAAAGCTCCGTGGCTGAGGGGGCACGGAAAGCTTTGCAGTCCTCTGGTCTTCGACGGTCACAGCTACACCATTCTGCCCGAAGTATGCGGTCCAAAAAAAGAACCTGTACCCAGGGAACACGAGAGTAAGAGGAACTCAAATGCAATGAGGTTTTCCAGCCTGCGGTCTGCCCGTCAGGGTGGACAGGAGCGTGTCCGCCCAAGCTACTGCATATTCTCCCGACACCTCACAGGGAAGAGTAATGCCTGTGCCGCATGGCCACGGAAGGTCAGCGCTTCTTCAGAGCCCGGCATGTGTGTCCAATACTGCGACCACCACACCGTCGGATGCCTTTTTGCAACATGCAGAGGTCATGGCGCAAACTCTCCTCGAACTTCTCGTGCCTTAAAGAATCTCGGTGCCCGTGGAGGAGGCAAAGCCCGAACGGGAGAATCCTCTGCGAACAGCATCAAAAACACCACGTGGCAGCACTTCAGCGTTCTTTCTCTTTGCTTGGCAAGGCGCCTCCTTGGGCTCCAAGCGCACAGGCCTGGACTCTTTCAGCTCCAGCGCGAACTGTCTATCCGCTTGCACTTCTGCTTTTTTACCCATGGCACATCAGCGTGAACTGACCTGAGCATAGTCTCGCTGCCTTTGCATCCCAAGCACACGAGCCCGTTGAAACCTGTCTCTAGGCCCCGAGGCCTTCTCACATGTTCCCTGATGTCCCTGGGGCCGGGGCAAGGGCACCAAGTCGAAGACTTGCAGAGCAAAAGCGCTGCCAGGACCTTGAGAGTGTCTGCCCTGATGCCCTATGCGGACTGACTTGGTCTATCTTGGTCTATGAACCTGACTTGGTCTATAGATGTGGACCTGCCGCAACTCAGCAGCGAGCCAGGGCCGCAAACCACCAACGTTTGGCAGGTCAATTCGTGTTCACCTCTGGCGTCTGCATGTTCAGCTTCCGGCACGACTGACTCTGTGGGGATGAAGCTGTGGCAGCCGGGGCCAAGAATAGTGCGTTTGAGCTTTAGATTTGATGCGCTCGGCGATTGAAACATGAAGAGGTGTGCCTGAGAACACGAAGCTGACATCCGGCTGCTCGTCGTCATCATCGGACCTGAATGATTCGGAGCTGGAGCTCTGCAGCTGAGATAGCACTTCCGGCTCAGGGCATGGCACGCAAGCCTGGATCTGATCCAAGAGTCCATGAATCATGGCCACTGAGGACTGAGACACAACTACACGGCTGTAAGAGCTGACCTGGTTTGCCTGCCTTTCCTTTGTATCTTTGCTCTCAGACATGAGAAACCGAAGAGCTTCACCCTAGGTTGAACATGTAAAGCTGCTCTCCCTGCGCTCCGAACGCTCCGAGGCAACTCACCACCGAAAGCCAGACCGCGTGCAAAAGATGCTAGTGGGGCTGCAGTTGTACGCAAATCAAGCGCAGCCAGCCAGCCAGACAAACAGACAGACAGACAGATTTGCCAATACTGTGAAGATCACCATGGTCCATTGCAATGTAGAACTGTACCGGCAGTACACACATGATCATGCGATGTGCTTAGATGTGCTTAGCCCATGTCAGCCCCCAATGAATGATTACTGCTACCGGTTCGCCTGGCCCAAGCTAATCAAAGCACTCAGCTGCAGTCATGACAGCAGTCTGCCATGACAATTGCTACAGCATGTGCAAAGGTGCGCCTCCGTCAACATAGTCTACCGCCCATTCTTACACAGTAATCACAAGGGAACATTAACAGCTAGGCTGACAAAGTCTTCCGTGACGTGAGCGCCACATGCCGCTGCATCTACAGCGGGTCCCAACAAAGACACGACACACAGTACAGTCCAGTTCAGTCCAGTCAGCATGGACATGGACAGGACAGAGACGGAACGCTTAACAGACAGACACACAGCTAGAAAGGTAAACAGCAAAAGACTGGTTTCTTCAGGAGGCAGAGAGGCAGGTGAGCGAGGGGTGCTCTGCCAGGCCTTTCACAAGATCTGTCAAGACACGCACAACCTTTTTGTCCCCGCTTTCCCAACTGAGTTGCATGACAAGGGCACGCAGTTGCACAGGTAGCTTCCGAGGTAAAACAAGGGCCCGAAGCACTGAGCCAGCATGGGGCGTGCACTGTACGGAGTGCTCGGCAGCTTTGCTCACACTTCGTAAATGCTGGGCTTCGCGCTTGAGTCTTGAATCGGCAGACCGCCACAAAGCAGACAGTCACACGCCCAAGCAGCTGCTTCCATCAGCCAGTGCGCTGTGCCAAACACGAGCACCCCTGCAAAAGGCAAGGACACTGGATGGCTCTTGGCCGGAAGAGGACCTTTTACAGAAACTGACTGATTCTGGAAGACGAAACTCTTAACTTCTGCGGAGAGCAGTGACGGAACTGCTCGGGACTGGCCGGCAATGTGCAGAAGCAAGTCGTGCTTCCAGGAACAGGCAACGCAGCAGGAACAGAATTCCTGACGGAGCGCTTCGCCTGCTTGCCGGCACTGTCCCTCGGAAGCTCAAGCTACGGCAAGGCTTCACAGCCCGGGCCGTGCGAGGCTGCGGCATCGGAGCGAGACCTCGAACTACAAGGTTGTGCTTATGTTGTTGGTAGGCAGGTAAAGAGCATTGGAACACATGCTGCAAGCTCACACGTCAAACTGCCATCGAGATCCGACATGCACCCCCGATGTGCAGAGGGCAGTGGCGAATGGAAGAACTCCTGAGGTACTAAATACTTACAGTCTACATATTCACATCATGCATCCAAAGCTTCTTGCGAATGGTTGTTGAAACAATTCGGGCCCAAATCTGCGCAGCGGTTCGGGCAGTCTTTGTCCGTGCCTTCAGTTGACCACCCCGACCCATGTAAAGAGACCCTACCATGCACACATATGCACACTGCTCTGTCAGGAAGTCAGCCCAGCCGGCCATCCGGCGAAAACAGCGGTTTGTCATGCATTCCTGCCAATCAGTACCACTTCACGAGCAGCGTACAATGGCCTCGGAAGGCTGAGGGACTTACAGGTTTGGTGGCCCTCTACTTAACATGCGACAGCCGGCGCAAACCTCTGCGACGGGGGCGTGGTGTTCGCACGACAGTCCTTAACCGAGGAGGCCCTTGTCGACCTGTAGTATGTGCCGTTAAGGCATGTGTTCATGTCAAAATGCCCATCCGCCCGTGAAAACCTGGGTGTGATCAAACCGCAGCAGCCTGATAAGAAGTGGCCCATGAAACTCGAAAAAGCTCTATTGAAGCTGTAGGGATACAGCATGCAGCACCTGCCGGCACCGTGGCCACTCATAAACGGAACATCTGCATGCAGTGGCCAATCCTGTGAAGGGAAACAGCAGGGCCTGCTGCAGCATCTGTTCCGCGAGGATGGCACCACGAGCCTCAGCACGTGGCACGTTTCCTCCATGCGTCCACGTCGAGATTTACGTACAGCCGTGGGTGATCGGCCGCTGTCGATGTCGCAAAGTGGAGTCGGACGGGGCAGGGCTCAGGCGGCTCAGGATGAAATCTGCAGCAGCTCAAAGTGGCCTGTCATGGCCGCTTCTTTGGGCCGGCAGAGGCAGCGCATGGCAGGGCCCAGGGTGCCAGGCTACCCTACATGCTACGAGGCTACAAGGTCACTCCAAACATCTTCAGGCTCAGAGGAGAAACCATTCGGTGAACCTTAGGAAGCCTCTTGAAGGGAGCGCCCCACTCTTCTTGATGGAAGATTCTAAACAGCACAGCGCCCCACGCACTTTCGGCCAGGGCGAGCGGCCTTCGCGTCGTGATATCTTCACCAACAGCTGAAGTGTCACACGCACTTGTGGGACCCTCGAGCCCTCAAGATGCGCCGCTGGTGGACTACTGACTGCAAGCTCGAATAGTCTTGCATGTTGAGACAGGGCGCTTACGGCATCTGAGCTGAACAGTTCCACCAGTCATCAGCTGTGCAGGCTGCGCTGCGCCGGAGGAACCAGGGATTGCAGCACACGCTGCGGCACAAAGCGCAGATGACGCAGAGAAAGTACGTCGTCGTCTCATCGCGAGCAGGTGCCTCAGCTGAAGTATCCTGAAGTATCTGGCCACAACTAGCTCTTCAGAGCGCGGCTCGCCGTGGAGACAAGTGGGATCCACTAAGCTATAGCCCACAGTGATGAAAGCAACTGAGCAAATCGACAGAGTCAAGGTCTGGTACGTTTCGATCGTCTTTCGTGGCAAGGCACCACTGTACAGGTGATTGCACTTCGACCCCCGGGCTGGTGTGCCAAAGTGGCCGCAGGACAAAAATCGAAGCTTCCAGAAAGCTGCTGTGGCCACTTTGGCTGCATGCGGTCACCGAAGTGGTGACGGCCTCATCCCTGCTAACATGCTGCCCCTTGAATCCAAACCGGGGCAAAGTCATGCAAGTCGCCCGGATCTACGGCCTGCGTGGGCGACGGAGGCTGGCACCTCCCACGCCCATGAGATTGCAAGCATCGTCTCCAGGCAGGAAACGATTCTACTATTTAGACTTCAACCAAGGCCTGCATGATGCCTAGTCTGATGAGCTTGTGATCGCGAGACTGTGCGACGTCGCCGGAACAGCTTGCAGAAGCCCAACTGCTGGAGCACCCCAGGCTACCACCCAATTCCACACGATCTGCTCGGAGACCTTGTCAGTATTGATGTCGCAGGTCTTCACACAGCTTCCCTGCGCGTGCGGTCACTGCTCAACTCTTGGCGACACGAAACTCCTGGAGCGTTTCTGCCTTGCTGCCTTGCTTAGTCATACAGGGTAGACGAGGGACGTGTTTCAGGCTGGCTGAGACCTGGCTCCAGCTTGTGGCACCAGACGTGCGGCCAGAGCACCAGAAGTTCAGTAAAAAGACAGAGACCGGCTTCGTTTAAGGATGTTCGAAGAGCTGCGGCGAGCAGCAGACACTGGCACTTGAGGCCTACCTGCACTTGTCCGGCCCTACCTGTACTCGCTTACTAGCAGAGCATAGCAGAGCCCCCATCCACAGCGCAAGAGTCTCAGCCTGTCGGCTCCTCGCCTCAACTACCGCCGCCGTGCACGGTGCTTTTGATGATAGAGCATCGCCTGAAAGACAATGACAAGCCCACCACTCAAATTTCGACCAAAGCTTACATGATGTCGGTGTTTCGCAAAGGCTCTGAGTCTAGCACGCCGGGGCCCACGCGCCTTTCTCGCATCTGCGGCCAGTCTGACGATGTCATGAGGCCGAGGCTGTATGACGTTGCCGCCTCCAGAAGCTTTCAGCCCAACGGCCCCGGCCCACCGCGCCACAGCATCCCGACTCCAAGTGCGCTGAAAGATGTGCTGACTGCCCTGGACTCGGCGTGAGCTCTCTTGGCGGCGGAGTGCTTGTGTTCTTGCGATTCTTGCGACTCTCAAGGCTCCCAGCCGCCTTCTACAGATGCTTACAAACCTGCTCGCTTGTCTGGATGTGCGCATTGGGGCTCAAAGCAGTTGGGATGCAACAGCTCTGCGACTACGGAGCCCGACTGCAGCCTCACTGTAGCAAGTGCTGGCGAGATCCGGCAGCATCTCGCCCAGCTCACTACGGCAGCTGCCGCAACACGGACGCCACTGTTGGCAGCTACCGCCAACGTCCCGAGGTCAACGCCCGGGCCGTAACAGACGCCGCCTTTGCAGGGCGCGCACGATGCAGGCAGCAAGGTGGGCAGAACCACTATTTCTTCCAGCAGCTACAAGCCTGCAGCCGCACCTGTCAGCCCCCTTCGCCTCACGACTTTGGCTTCGTCTCCGAAGGATCAAGAAGCATCAACCTTGCCTCGATTCTTAAACATGCTTGCAGCAAGCCTTAGATTGCCGGTGCTACTCGCACCACGACGAGCTACAGTCGTAGACACCACGACCACCCGACCATCGCCCCAGCTGAACAATGGCTGCAACTAGGCGGTTTCTCGCCTTGAGGCCAAGCGGCTGCTCGGATGGAACAGCCATCATTTTGGGACCTGACAGTGGTATGCGATGCGCCGGCAGACCGTGAAACTCGACATCCCAGGGCTCACAGAAGTCTGACGTGTCCGATTGTGAGCCGCTATGAGTCGTGAGTCGCTGTCTTGCGTGCATAAGGGAGCCCTGCAGTTTTCCCAAACAAGCATTGTGCCGGGCAATTTCACGGCCACCTTCTCGAAAGTCCACCGCAACTTGCGGCAACATCCGCTCTCTTGACTTTGCAGCCTAGGCCCACT